TAGAGACGGGGTTTCACTGTGTTAGCCAGGATGGTCTTGATCTCCTGACCTCGTGATCCGCCCGTCTCTGCCTCCCAAAGTGCTAGGATTACAGGCTTGAGCCACCACACCCAGCCTTATTTATTTATTTATTTATTTATTTTGAGACGGAGTCTCCCTCTGTCACCCAGGTTGGAATTGGCACAATCTCAGCTCACTGCAACCTCTGCCTCCTGGGTTCAAGTGATTCTCCTGCCTCAGCCTCCTAAGCAGCTTGGATTACAGGCACCCGCCACCACATCCAGCTAATTTTTTTTTTTTTTAAGTAAAGATGGCATTTCACCATGTTGGCCAGGCTGGTCTCAGACCTCAGGTGATCCACACCCCTCAGCCTCCCAAAGTGCTGGGATTACAGGCATGAGCCACAGCACCTGGCCTGACATAAGTCTTTAAAAAATCTTTTTTTGAGACAGTGTCTCACTCTACCGCCCGGGCTAGAGTGCAGAGGCACAATCACAGCTCACTGCAGCCTCGACCTCCCAGGCTCAAGCAATCCTCCCACCTCACTTTCAGCCTCCCAGGTAGCTGGGACTACAGGTACATGCCACCACACCCAGCTAACTTTTTAAATTTTTTGTAGAAACGGGGGTCTCGGCCAGGCATGATGGCTCACGCCTGTAATCCCAGCACTTTGGGAGGCCGAGGTGGGTGGATCATTTGAGGTCAGGAGTTCGAGATCAGCCTGATCAACACAGTGAAACCTCATCTCTACTAAAAATACAGAAATTAACCGGCCATGGTGGTGGGCACCCGTAATCCTAGCTGCTTGGGAGGCTGAGGCAGGAGAATCACTTGAACTCAGGAGGCAGAGGTTGCAGTGAGCCAAGATGGTGCCACTGAACTCCAGCCTGGGCAACAAGAATGAAACTCCTTCTCAAAAAAAAAAAAAAAGAAAGGGAGAAAGGGGGGTCTCACTGTGTTGCTCAGACTGGTCTTGAACTCCTGGCCTCAAGTGATCCTCTGGCCTCAGCCTCCCAAAGTCCTGGGATTACAGGCATGAGCCACTACCTCACCTGACCTGACATAGTCCTAAATAAGGAAATTAATTATTTACAATGTAGGGGGCAGGGGTGAGGGAACCTAAAAGTCCAACAACAGAGAAGTGGTTAAGAAAATTACAGCCATTATAATGTTTGCCAAACGTGCCCACATTAAAACAAAAAATTTTAACAATTTCATGTTAACGTTAAGTGAAACACAGCAAGTTAAAAAGTTTGCACAGCATATGATCTCATGTTAAAAATATACTAACACAGTGAAACCCCATCTCTACCAAAAATACAAAAAATTAGCTGGGTGTGATGGCACGTGCCTGTAGTCCCAGCTACTAAGAAGGTTGAGGCAGGAGAATTGCTTGAACCCGGGAGGAGGAGGTCGCAGTGAGCTGAGATCACGCCACTGCACCCAGTCTGGGTGACAGAGCGAGACTCTGTCTTTTAAAAAAAGAAAATATATATATATATGTACGTGTGTGTGTGTGTGTGTGTGTGTATACAGAAAAAAAGACTGCAAGAATATTTTCCAGAATATAACAGTGTGCTTCTGGGTGGGAGAATTATGGTTTGCAGTTTTCAAAATCACAGTTTGCAATATTTTTCCAATGCTCTGTAATTAACATACATTATTGCTATAACAAACTTTAAATATTTTAAAAATGCATATATTCTGATTAATTGCTAGAATTTCTCAACCCCTGCCTCATTTTATTAATTGCAGAAAAAGATGAATCAAGGTCCAAGAGAGCTATTAATAGAATTTCCACAAGAAGGAAAAGCAAAAACATAAGACAAATATATTAAAATTCTGTTTCAGGATCTGAGTCCTGATGGAGAAATCCCCAGAAGTAGAACCGTATTGAAATTCCAGTAACATCATCACGCTTTTCACAACAGTACACCAAAAACTTACAGAAGGCTCTGTTGGCAGCAAGGAGTTAGTAAATCTCATAACCACTTGGGTCCCCATCTTCAAGAGTCCCTAGAAGAGATGAATCAGGGCCACCTTAAAACAGGAAGAATAAGAAATATACAAAATAACAGGCCAGGAAAAAAAAAATTTAAAGCTAAACTAACCTAGTTGGGGCCAGGCCCCTCCCCAAAACCTACCAACTTAAGTCATCTTGAAGTATCAGAAACAGGACCCTAGTTAGCAGGAAGTCCAGCTGAAGATATTACAAGCACAACAGGGCTATCCCAGTGGCATTTGAAAAATTTTTTTTTTTTTTTTTTAGAGAGATAAGGTCTCGCTCTGGCACTCTGGCTGGAGTGCACTGGCGCTGTCATAACTCACTGCAGCCTTTAACTGCTGGGCTTAAGAGATCCTCCCACCTCAGCCTCCCAAGTATCTAGGACCACAGATGTGCACCACCACACCCAGCTAACCCAGTGGCATTTCTAAACCTAGTTGTTTACGTATTAATAGTAATAAAGTGAAGAGTAATACTCCCCTATCATTAGTCAAGCAACAATGCATTTTCCCTTCTTCCTATATTTATCAGTCAAGGACCACAGGAAATACTCTGAAGATAATCAGAAGAAATACTGGAAGCTCTGCTACTGGCATTTACTTCCCTCCATCCTCAGAAACTGAGTTTTAACCCAGAGAGACAACATGTATAATTTTTTTTTTTTTTTTTTTGAGACAGTCTTGCTCTGTCGCCCAGGTTGGAGTGCAGTGGCACAAGCTCAGCTCACTGTAACCTCCACCTCCCAGGTTCAAGCAATTCTCCTGCCTCAGCCTCCCAAGCAGCTGGAACCTCAGGCACGTGCCACCACACCCGGCTAATTTTTGGTAATTTTTTAGTAGAGATGGGGTTTCACCATGTTGGCCAGACTGGTCTCCAACTCCTGACCTTGGGTGATTCGCCTGCCTTGGCCTCCTAAAGTGCTAGGATTACAGGCGTGAGCCACCGCGCCTGGCCCGGCATGTATAATTCTAAGGCAGAAATGTGTATATTGCACTTTAAGCTTACAAAGTACTATCATCTACATCATCTTATTTGACCTTTGCAGTAAATAATCTCTGAAAACGGGTTAATTTTTTTTTTTTAACTTTTTTGAGATGGAGTCTCGCTTTGCAGCCCAGGCTGGAGTGCAGTGGCACGATCTCAGCTCACTGCAGCCTCCACCTATCCGTTCAAGCGATTCTCCTGCCTCAGCCCCCAGAGTAGCTGGGATTACAGGCGTCGGCCACCACGCCTGGCTAATTTTTTGTATTTTTAGTAGAGACAGGGTTTCGCCATGTGTTGGACATGCTGGTTTCAAGCTCCTGACCTCAGGTGATCCACCCACCTCGGCCTCCCAAAGTGCTAGGATTATAGACATGAGCCACCCCGCCCAGCCAGTACTAACCCGACCCGACCCTGTTTAGCTTCTAAGATCAAAAGAGATCGAGCGCCTTTCAGGGCGGTATGGCCATTAAATTTTGCATTTTTAGTAGAGACAGGGTTTCTCATTGTTGGCCAGGGTGGTCTCCAACTCCTGACCTCAGGTGATCCGCCCGCCTCAGACTCCCAAAGTGCTGGGATTACAGGCGTGAGCCACCGCACCTGGCCACCTTCATTTAATATATAGAAAATAGGCTACAGAGTTTCTCCACCAATTAGTGGTGGGGGCAGCCCTCCAACCCACCTTTTCTGAATCTGCCTGCATTGACTCTTTGCCAGACAACAGGCCGGGAAAAAGTGATAATGGTAATGATATAATGGCAGCCAACATTTGACTACAAACTATGTACTTGTTGCAAGTGCTTTAAATTCTCACACTTTATGGAGCTAATACTATTTTTTTTTTTTTTTTTTTTTTTTTTTTTTTTTTTGAGATGGAGTCTTGCTCTGTCCCCCAGGCTGGAGTGCAGTGGCGAGATCTCGGCTCACTGCAACCTCCGCCTCCCCGGTTCAAGCGATTCTCCTGCCTCAGCCGCCTGAGTAGCTGGGATTACAGGTCCGTGCCACCATGCCTGGCTAATTTTTGTATTTTTAGTGGAGACGAGGTTTCACTGTGTTGGCCAGGCTGGTCTCGAACTCCAGACCTCAGGTGATCCGCCCGCCTCAGCCTCCCAAAGTGCTGGGATTACAGGCGTGAGCCACCGCGCCAGGCCGATACTATCATTGCCAACTTTTGTGTGTGCGTGTGCTACAATTTCATTTTCAGTACTCTACCAGTCTTTAATCATCCCTCTTAGGGACCAGCAGAGAGACAGCGGTATTTGGGGAGAACGGAGAACAGACTGAGAAAGGGGAGTGCGTTACCCCTCCTCTCCAAGCTCTGAAAGTCTGAAGCAGGAAACTGCACACTAAGAATGTACAAGGCTGAGAGTGGGTTTGGTCTTTGAAATTTTAGCCTCCTCCTACGCGCTTCAACCTCGCCACCTCCGCGTGTCCCCAGTTTCGATGTGGATGATCAACTTGGGTAATATTTTTGTTACCCGCCACCTTTCAGCACCTACCTCTTAAATTATGGGTCCGTCTGGTTCAGCATCTCTGTCCCCAGCCCTCCTGGGCTGGGCCTGCCCCTGCTCTGGCTTTGCCGCGGCATTCCCGCTGCCATGGTGATGCGGAGGCCGGCCACAGGCCCCGCCCGCCTCCAGCCAGCCCGAGCCAGCCCCTGCCGGCCTTGGTCCCGCCTCCGGCCCGCCGGATCCCGCCTCCTGCAGGTCCTGACCGCCCCCGCGCCCCCGGACCCAGATCCTCCCACTGCCGTTCCGGACCCGCCTCCCAGGAGCCCCGACAACAACCAATCCCGGCATGGACCTCAAGGGAACTGCGCCCTCTGCCAATGGTAGTCCGCCCCCTGTTATTCCCAAACCCCACCCGCCTCCAGCTCCGCCTCCAACCGCGGCCTGGGGGTGGGGCCGGAAGGCCTCTCTACTGGCTGGACTTTCGAACCGCCCTTAAAACTGGGCGGGATGCGCCGTCATCGCGAGGAGCCTTGGGGCCCCCGCCCCAGAAAACACGCCAGGCATGTTTCTCAGGCCATTTATTGATCCTAGCGGCCCCGCACCTGCGAGAGCCAACAGTCCCTCCGAGGGAAGTTTCCCGGCCTCGCTGTGCTGTCGGTTATCAGTGTCTTGAGGTCCTGTAGGCCCATGGTTGGAGAGCGCTTCCTCCACGCCTCAGCCCCCTTCCCCCATTTGTCTGTTAAGGTCTGGAACCTGACTCAGCCCAAGCCAGCCCTGGTGTCTGAATGTAAAAGCTCAGAATGCTTTTCCAGAGCACCTCCCCTTCAGCTTTGGAGTTTAAGGTGTGTGAAAAAGGATACCATTAATTAAAGTCCGACAAGATCAGCTCACGTGCTTATAGGCTAACTTTTAACCTGCTCTTTCTGCACTTTTCAAGAGCAGGAGCAACAATGGTGAGGTCGAAGACCTACCTCCCTGCACACTCCACCTAACCTCATGTGGCTAGCTAAGTTTAGCTATCCATTCATAGCTAAACCAACTATAACTCCAACCTAACAGTGGCAAGTAAGAGGCCAGGGGAGAAACTGGGACGCTCACAATTCCAGGGGCTTTGGAGTTCTTTAAGCTTAAAACGTGGCCAACATCCCTGGGTTGCCACCCAGTTCCCCAAAGCTGTAGATTCTCCCCCACAGGAGTAGTGGTTAACGATGGACTGGGCCTTCCTCCCCAAGGCTCACACCAGGGTCCCGTTCTTGCTGTCATAGCGAGGTGTGGCCTGGGGGAAGCGAAGGGTTGCATACTCTGTAGCATCTTCTAAATGCACTTGTTTCGCTTCCCAGGAATGGGGACGGCTGCACACTTGAATGTCAGCATAATGTAAGTTGCTGTCTTCCCACATGAGGCCTGGACTCCTCTCTTGAGACCCTTGCTGCTGTAACACCCGCTCATACGTGTGTCCTGTTGTTTCATGGCCCTGCGAGGAATGGATAGCATTAAGGGAGATTCATGGCTTGGTTTTGCCCCTCACCTCCAATGCAGGGGCAGGTCGACTGATGTCCCTTCACTTTGCTCCTTTGAGGGGCAGAGGAGGACAGACAGAGCCAGCAAATTCTACAGGTGACTGAAATGTGTCTGTTGCAGGGCAAAAGAGCTGGCTACTGGGATCCCATGTCCGAGCAGCCCCGGAGAGGGGACAGAGGCCTGTCATTACCTTTGGGCCATTCTGCTGCAGCTGTCGTGGCTGTGGCTTCAGTGTCCGTCTTGCTTGGCTTCCTGAGGGGAAGAAATCCAACTTAAATTCATTCTCTCTTCCCTGTCTCTGTTGAGACTGCCTTTTCAACTCACTATTAAACTATCACGGCAGGCTTCCGTCTAATCTCCCTGCCTCCATTCTCACTTCTTTCATGTCTACTAGTCCTAAATCCAAACTCCTTAGCAGGGTTTACAATCTGGCCCCTTCACAATCTGGCCATATTATCTTCCATCCTCATTTTTCACTAGCCCCTAACACAGTTCAACATGAGAACCCATTATGTGCCAGGCTCTGTGCCATGTTCTGGTGGTAGAAGGATGAGTAAGCTGTTTCCTCTACCTCAGGGGGCTTACAGCCTGCTAGGAAAGACAAATAAATAAAAATAAGTAAACAGACTTACAATGCAAGATGGTAAGTGCTTAGCTACACCAATCAGTCACTTTGAATCAAGTCAGTCTCTCTTTTCTTTTTTTTTCATGAGCTGATTTATCTGCCTAAAACACCGTCTTCTCCCTCCTCTGCTGACTTATGAACTTTGCTTTTATTTATTTATTTAGAGACAGAGTCTCGCTCTGTTGCCTAGGCTGGAGTGCAGTGGCATGATCTCGACTCACTGCAACCTCCACCTCCCGGGTTCAAGCAATTCTCGTGCCTCGGCCTCCCAAGTAGCTGGTACTACAGGCACACACCACCATGCCCCACTAATTTTTCTCTTTTTAGTAGAGATGGGATTTCACCATGTTGGCCAGGCTGGTCCCAAACTCCTGACCTAAAGTGATCTGCCCCCCTTGGCCTCCCAAAGTGCTGGGATTACAGACGTTGAGCTAGTATGCCCAGCCCTTTGCTATTATTTCTTTGACGTTTTGACATCAGTGTCTTCTCTCATTCTCCCACAGCATGAGTGCACATCGGTTATAGCACCAGTAGATGATATTACAACTGTTTGTTTATATGAATTTATCTCTTAAATTTGATTTTCAGCTCTTCCAGAGCTGAGATCGTGTGTCTTTCCTCTTGTGCCTCTCTGCCTCCTTGGGACCCACACAGGTCCTCACATACAGTATAAGTGCTGAGTAAGTATTTGCTAGATGAATGAAAGAATGAGCAACCAACCCTGCCACTCTGAAATAATGGAAAGAATAAGATTCAGAGGTTCAGAGCTAGTCTTCAACGCAGCAACCTGGATTCTCTTTTCTCTTTGGTGTGCTGTCTCCCTTTATCCCTTCATTCCTTTTCTACCCTTCTGCCCTTTCCAAAGATGGCAGTTCTATTGCCTTCTCTAATTTGCCTCCCCCAGATTCTTCCCCCAGCCCCAAAGTTACCTGTTTTCTTTTTCTTCTGGAAAGTTGATGGGCAGCTCCTGTGATAAGAAAAACAGATCACCCATGTGCAAGAAGCCCTGGCCTCTGCCCTCCCTCCATCATCATTTGCTCTGTGGTCTCCTTAACATTCTGATGACCTTCCCCTACCTCCCTCTAACAAAGATTCACCCTGAGCCAGGTTCAAAGCATTAGTCAAGGGTACCACACCTCTCCCACATGGATGGTTCTGGAAGGTGGAGTAGTACAACTGACATAACCAGACCCAAAATACAGCCTCAGGCAACCAGGCACTACATGCCAGGGATGTATCTGGCTTGAGAGCTATTCTGGGATTGTCTAACAGGCTAATTCCCAGCAGAGGGTGAGGGAAACCTGCCAAATGATGGAATATTCTTGGATCCAGAGACCCTCTTGCCTCTTCTTCAGTGCTTTTTTTTTTTCCTGGGGTCTTTGCCAATCTGGGACTTTTATTCTGGGAGCCCTGGAAGCTGCCACAACCAGGGCTAACTAATTACAACCCCTTAGGGCCCTTTCTTAACAAGTGACCTCCCTCCCTGCTTCCTTGTCCTTGTTTTTAATTAACAGAGAAAGTGAGAGATGTTTAACCTTTAGCATCCTTTAGAGAACTTTGTCTACAGAACAGGGAGCACTGAATTTGGTGAGTGACTCAGCTATCCTGCCCTCACTGTAGGGCAGACCTCTTATATTTATTTCTGAGCCCCTAGGGTCCCCAGTGGCGCCCGTGTGTCTACGTGATTGTTAACTGTTTGATGCCAGAGAGACAACACTGTCTGAGGAAATAGGCTAAATAGTTTGGGGCTTACTTCGGATTCTTTTTCTTGCTTTCTTGCTAGTATATTTCCAACTCTTGCCAGAGCCAACCCTGTTTGTCTGTCTGATCTCTCATGTCCTGGGAAGTTTCCTTCTTTGCTAATTGGAGAGGGTGAGAGAGAGAAGACTGACGTCCAAATCATGAGGACTACTGTGGGGAAAAAAGTCAGGATTTTTCCACACACATTTGACAAAGTTTTCTGTTTTGATGTGACTTTTGGTTTTGCTACAGCTTGCTCAGTTGACAGCAGTTGAGTCTCCAGCCAAACTCTACAGGTGGTTCAGAAGAAAAACGACTTCTGTGTTTTTCTACTTCTTCTGCCACTTCAGCTCTTGCTTTATGTTACCGCTGCTCAGTCAGCCTTATCCTAAGAACGAGATAATCTTCTAATTCTTTACCACTTGTTACTACTCTTTACCTACTTATTTTTATTTAAATGGATAGAGAAAATATTAATCCTAAAATACATAGACTAGGGCTATCCAATGTTAGTGAACAGAGCCTCTTCTCAAGTTAGATATTGTGCAATGCTGGGACACAACCCAAATGGAGTGAATATTCATTTAGATTCACAGGTGATGAGATTTTATTTTTAGATTTAAGGATACTAAGTGGGCACTCTTCTACAGTAGTAATAGGAATAAAAATTTGTGCAATCCTCCTAGAATGCAACTGGCAATAAGTATAAAAAGCCTTAAACATAAATGTGTATGCCCTCTGATGTAGCAATTCCATATCCTAAGAAATAATTCTACATGTACAAATATGGATATTCATTATAATATTATTTAAATTGCAAAAAATAGGAAATACTCTGAAGGTCCATGATTTGGTAACTGACTAAATAAATGGCATATCCAATTAATGGAATATATGTAGCCATGTCATAAAGAATGTTGGAAGGACCCGAACATCATGGAAAATTTTACTCTTTATTAAGTTAGTAAAAAGATATGTTTTGGAATAAAAACTGTGCACATTTAAAAAATATATGGAAATACACTAAAATGTTCCCATCATCTCTGGGTGCTTATGTTTATGGCTGCTTTTTATTTTCTGCTCTTTGCAGAAGTTAAATTTTCTGCAATGAATGATTATTACCTTTGTAATCAGAAACAATAACAACAAAGAATATTTTAAAATAAAAATATCTTCAATTGCGATAATATCTTTAAGCCTCTGGAGGTTTATTGAGATAACAAAAAATAGAGAACAAAGTTTTATTCAATCCTACTAGTATTTTAAGAGGAAAAAAAGATTTTGGTTGGACTGTTTGGTATAGTGTCTCTAGAATGGGCTCTGGAGTCAGACTGATGAGGTCAGACTAGCTGTGAGACCTTCAGCAAATTTTTAACCTCTCTGGGCTTCTGTTTTCTTATTAATAAAATGAGTATGATAGGCCGGGTGAGGTGGCTCACGCCTGTAATGCCAACACTTTGGGAAACCAAGGCGAGCGATCATTTGAGGTCAGGAGTTCAAGACCAGCCTGGCCAACAGGTGAAACCCCGTCTGTACTAAAAATACAAAAATTAGCTGGGCGTGGTGGCGCGCCTGTAATCCCAGCTACTAGGGAGACTGAGGCACAAGAATCGCTTAAACCTGGGAGGCTAAGGTTGCAGTGAGCCAAGACTGTGTCACTGCACCCCAGACTGGGCGATAAAGCTAGACTCTGTTTCAAAAAAAAAAAAACATGAGTGTGATAATAGAATTCAGACCTCATGGTATTATTGTAAGGATTAAATAAAACAGGAAATATATAATACTTAGCATGGTTTCTAGCATATAATAAGCATCAGTAAAAGTTGACCACTAATGACTATCACCATCAGTAATGAAAAAAGAATACCAACACTTGGGAAGAGACAGAATAAAAGAAGCTGTTACATCCCCTTCTCTGGAAGCTTTTCTGTGCTTCTGGATGTCCTGTGTCTATAAGGCATCTCAGAGTTTAAAGGGTGCTTTATTTTGTCAATCCTGACATTCCAGGAAACATATATTTTTGTTCCCATTTTACAGATGGGTCAACTAATGCCCTTTTTTACTAACTTAATAAAGAGTAAAATTTTCCATGATGTTAGGTGTTCTTCCAACATTCTTTATGAAGTGGCTACATATTTTCCATTAATTGGATATGCCATGTATTTAGACAGTTACCAAATGTTGGACCTTCAGGGTATTTCTTACTCAACAAGGCAGGGACCAAATGTCCTTTTATTACTATGTCTTCTGTGTCTATCACTGTGCCTGTAGTACATGTCCAATAAACATTGTTTAATAAATGAATGGATAAATGAATGAGTAGTAGGGCACGACTTGAATCCAACGTACTACTACAAAACCTATGTGTTTTCCAATGCACTTCACTTGTCTATCTAAATATAATGATGCTTTATTTATAGCATGACATTCTCAAGATCTGCCCCAAGCATGGAAGGCAGTAGACAGGATAAAACCAGGACCAGGAATTTATGGCATGGCAGTGATGAAAATTCTGGGAAAGAACAGTAACAGGGCCACTGATAATTTATTACGAGGTTCTAACATACAGTATATCCTTTGCTCTTCAAAATAAGCCTGTGATCTACACAATGTAGGATGTATTATCTATATTTTATATATGAGGATGAATACAGAGAAATTAAGGGACTTATTACCTATGGTCACATAGTAAATAAGTGTGAAAGTCATACTCAGATATCCCATGGATATTCTTCTTTTTCCTACTTCTGCCCTTTTATTTTTATTTTCATTTTTGAGGCAGGGTCTCTCTGTCACCCAGACTGGAGAGCAGTGGTGTGATCATGGTTCATTGCAGCCTCGACCCCCAGGGCTCAGATGATCATCCTGCCTCAGCCTCCCAAGTACCTGAGATTACAAGCGTGCACCACCACACCTAGCTAATTTTTTTTTTTTTTTTTTTTTTTTTGAGACGGAGTCTCACTCTGTCGCCCAGGCTGGAGTGCTCCGCCTCCCGGGTTTACGCCATTCTCCGGCCTCAGCCTCCCGAGTAGTTGGGACTACAGGCGCCTGTCACCTCGCCCAGCTAGTTTTTTTGTATTTTTTAGTAGAGACGGAGTTTCACCGTGTTAGCCAGGATGGTCTCGATCTCCTGACCTCGTGATCCGCCCATCTCGGCCTCCCAAAGTGCTGGGATTACAGGCTTGAGCCATCGCGCCCGGCCTAATTTTTTTTTTTAGACGGAGTTTTGCTCTCATTTCCCAGGCTGGAGTGCAGTGGTGTGATCTTAGCTCACTGCAATCTCTGCCTCCTGGGTTCAAGCGATTCTCCTGCCTCAGCCTCCCGAGTAGCTGGAATTACAGGCATGTGCCACCATGCCCGGCTAATTTTTTTTTTGTATTTTTAGTAGAGACAGAGTTTCTCCATGTTGGTCAGGCTGGTCTCAAACTCCTGGCCTCAGGTGATCTGCCTGCCTTGGCCTCCCAAAGTGCTGGGATTACAGGCGTGAGCCACCGCGCCCCGGCCACTTGGCTCTGTTTTCTAAGGTCTCCTGAAAGGAGGTGCGGCTCTGGTGTTGGAACAAGGAGGTACCAGGCAAAGGAAGGTGGCAGTGGGAGGCTGGCAGACAATTATCTCCAGGTGCTCTGATTTTCGGGGGGCTCTACATCCACCAATAGAGATAGATGTTCCCCTCTGCCCTTCCACCCTACTCACCAGCTTCCTCCGCAGCAGACCCGGTTTCCCATGGCGCGCTGTCTCCAAGGGAGCCCAGCTGTTTTTATGCATCAAGAGGCTTGTGCATTTCCGGGTTCCTGGTTGAGCTTTCCGCCGCAGCTCCCGGAGTCTGTGTCAGTGTCAGATTTCAACCTAGCAGGTTGGACTTTGGAAGCCACCTGCTGGAATGATTCCCAGGTGACTGTGTTCCCAGGCAAAGGATAGAACAACACACGGGCTCCAGGTGAGAGCTATCTCAACTTCAGGATTTGAAGCGTTTTTTGATGAAGCCATGAACTTGAGCTTCAAGCTTCAATAAAAAGAAACCTGAGATAGAAAAGGGCTCTCGGTTTCCTTAGGAAATGCTTCTCCATTACATCCCTCTGTCTTTGAAATATATCCTCTATAATAGATGAGTGCCTAATGTAATAGTTTGCTCAGCACCACTCTGGTTTAACTGAGTTTCACTTTCGTGGCAATTGGTACCAGTTTCTCATTATCTTTGTCCAGAATCTGGATTGGGATACTGAAGTCTGTTGGAAACTTAAGTTTGGGAAAATGAGTTCCTCAGATAGTCTCCCTAGATCTTTGAAATCTATGTGGGCAAATCACTTAACCTTTATAGGGTCTAAGTTTCCAGGGCTGTGAAATTAAAAAACTGAATCTAATCCCCTTTCTGGTATAAAATCAGATGATTCTATGATCGGGATGGCCTCAGCACTTCTTAACCACTCACTTCCCTATCCACAATTCAGAGCTACTGATTCTCCACTTACCCCTCAACTCTGCTTCTCCTTCCAGTAACGCAAAGTTTGACTCACCCCACACTCACCAGTTAGAAAATATGGGCTCTAGGAGAATCCATTGAAACCCATTATTCTTGTCTTCAGTTCTCTCACCCCATTGTTAGTGTTTTCCTCGGATGCCTGGTTATTTGTGTGTCCTTTAAGTGGATGTTCAGGGCCCACCACTCAGCTCTGCACTCCACAGAGAATACCCTAGACTTTGAACTCCTCTTATGAAACATGGGTAAGAGTGACAATCTTACAGGATTGTGGTGAAAAATAAAGCTGTAGTGCAGGGCCTGGCATATGGGACACGCTCAGTAAGAGTTAGGTATTGTTGTTGTTATTATTACAAAGCATATTATTTTCTTTCTTTCTTTAATTTTTAAAGAGGGTCTCAGTCTGTCACCCAGGCTGGAGTTGAGTGGCTAGCTCACTGCAACCTCAAACTCCTAGGCTCAAGAGATTCTCGCCCCTCAGCCTCTCGAGTAGCTGGGACTACAGGTTCACACCACTGTGGCCTAGCTAATTAAAAGAAAAAAAATTCTTTTTAGAGACAGGGCCTTTTTTTTTTTTTTTTTTTTAACTAATGTAAGATGGGGTCTTGTTATGTGGACCAGGCTGGTCTCGAACTCCTGGCCTCAAGCAATCCTCCCATCTCAGCCTCCCAAAGTTCTGGGATTACAGGTGTGAGGCACCACACCTGGCCAAGATAGGGTCTTGCTATGTTGCCCCTGCTGGTCATGAAGTTCTGGCCTCAAGTGACCCTCCTACCACGCCTGGTTCCCACATCTTAATTTCTTTTCTTGTGCCCTAATCATTGCACTATTTCATGGTCATGCTTCTTCCGTGCAATCCATTCTGTATTCTACTCTACCATTAACTGTATCCTTTTCATCCTGTTACCCACTCCTTCTCCTCCCAGTTCAAAAGCCATTAATGATTTCCTATCACCTACAGGATACCGTTCAAACTGCTTAGCCTAGCACTCAAAGCCCCCCATAATCTGGTTCCTTTTTAGCCACCCCTTCTGTAATGTTTTAAAAAGCACCTAAGCAGCTGGGTTTACACAGTGGCTTGGCTCATGCCTGTAATCCCACTGCTTTGGGAGACTGAGGCAAGAGGATCACTTGAGCCCAAGAGTTCAAAATCAGCCTGGGCAATATAGCAACAACCCATCATCTCTACAAAGTATAAAAACTGAAAAATTAGCCAGGTGTGGTGATGTGTGCCTGTAGTCCCAGCTACTCAGAAGGCAAGGTGGGAGGATTGAGCAAGAGAGGTTGAGGATACAGTGAGCTGTGATCACGCCACTGCACTTCAGCCTCTCCAAAATAAAGAAACAATCTCTAAAAAAAAAAAAAAAAAAGAAAAAAAAAGAAGAAGTAGAAGAAAAGAAAAGGAAATCACCTAAGGGATTTTTAGATGACCAGAAACTCCAAAGAAATCCATAGAGCAATAGAGCATTGTGGTAGCCAGAAAACCTGATATGCCTAAAACAGCATTAATAGAAGCCTGAAGTGATAAACAAGGATATTGATTATTCCACTGAAGTCTGTACCAGTCAATCCATGACTGGAATAACAGTTTTAGGCCTAGATGTTGAAATTCAAGTTACGTTATCAAAAGGCAGTATGTTCAAAATAAAGTTAATGGGTAATATGTGATGTGGAAAGTGCTATATGATATGGTTGAAGGAACAAGGCATGGCCAGGTGTCGTGGCTCACGCCTGTAACCCCAACATGTTGGGAGGCCGAGGTGGGCAGATTGCTTGAGGCCAGAAGTTCAAGACTAGCCTGGGCAACTTGGCGAAACCCAGTCTCTACAAAACAATACAAAAAATTAGCCCGGTGTTGTGGTGACAGGATTGCTTGAGCCAGGGAGGAGGAGGTTGCAGTGAGGGGAGATGACACCACTGCACACTCAGCCTGGGTGACAGAGAGAGACCTTGCCTCAAAAAAAAAAAAAAAAAAAAAAACACCTAGGCATGTTTAGCTGGGAAAGGGAAGCCTCAGGAAGACAGGATGGTTATCTTTAAATTTCGGAAGGATTTTCAAGTGAAAAAACCATTGCATTTGTTTGTCAGAGAAGTTACTGAAATGCAGATTTTGATTCAACAAAATCAAAGGAATTTATAATGGTTAAGTCAGTTAAGACCAAAAAGAAAATGGAGGGCCAGGTACAGTGGCTCATACCTGTAATCCCAGCACTGTGGCAGGCCAAGGCTAGAGGACTGCTTGAGTCCAGGAGTTCAAGACCAGCCTGGACAACAAAGCGAGATCTCGTCTCTAGAAAAAGTAAAAAATTAGCCAGGCGTGGTGGCACACACCTGTAGTCCCAGCTACTCAGGAGGCTGAGGCAGGAGGATTGCTTGAGCACGGGAGGTTGAGGCTGCAGTGAGCCATGAGGAGCACGGGAGGTTGAGGCTGCAGTGAGCTGCAGTGAGGCATGGCCACTGCACTCCAGCCTGAGCAACAGAATGAGACCCTATCTAAAAAAGAAAAGAAAGAACATGGAACAGGCTACCGTGGGAAGTTCTAAGTTGTCTGTCATTCAGAATGTCCCAGAATAAGTTGATTAATAACTTTAAAAGAATTTGAATGGAGTGGGGATTTGGACTAAATCAGAAGTTTTCAAATTTTTTATAGCTGAGAAACCCTTTCCCTTAAATAAAGCTCAGTTACAAAACATATCAATGTGAAGTTATTCTGGTTGAAGTCTAAGTGGAATCCTTTTCTTATTATTTTTCTTCTCAACTAGATTCCAGAAAGTTGACAATAAAAGCTAATAGTTTTTATATTTACAATATATATTCCCCATGGTGTATTACATGAGGTTTGATAAATATTTATTGAATGAATGAATGAACAATTAAATATATCAAATGTTATTTCTCTGGGGCATGCTTTCATTTTTAATAGACAGCAATCTTTCAACCAGAAGTTGAATTCCTCAAGTGAGTTCTGTTATCCTGGAGGTCCACAGATCCCTAAGAAGGATGTATGAATGGGTCTGAAGAGTTGTGGGAACCTATTCAAATTGTATTGCCAAATTTCGGAGCATATGTATTTTTCTGGTAAGAGCAGCTATAGCTTTTGTCAGATTTTCAGAAGGGTCTATAACTCCCAAAAGTTAAGAAACAACCACTTAATTTAATTCAATTTAATTTTTTTGAGGCAGGGTCTCACTGTGTCACCCAGGCTGGAGTGCAGTGGTGCAATCTCAGCTCACTGCAGCTTCAACCTCCCTAGCTCATCCTCCCACCTTAGCCTCCCAAGTAGCTGGGACTACAGGCATGCACCACCATGGCTGGCTAATTTTTATTTTTTTGTAAAGACAAAGGTTTCACTCTGTTGCCCAGACTGGTCTCTTACTCTTGGGCTCAAGTGATCCTCCTGCCTTGGCCTCCCAAAGTACTGGGATTACAGGTGTGAGTTGCTGCACCCAGCCAAGAAACAACTACTTTAATGGAAAAATTGTAGGTATCTACCACAGCCTAATAAAATATGTATTCGGAGGCAGGAAGGTCGTTTTGGACACCTCCCCCAAATCACCTAGCTGGATGTTCTCTTGATTGCAGAGAATAACTGAGGGGACAGACCCTCAGGCTTTCCTGAATACACCATACCCCCAGAGGACGGGAAGGTAATGGGGTTCCATGATCATTGGAGAGGCTTTGTGTCTGTGCCCCTGTGTATGCATACTCGGGCTCTCAAAATCAGTGACCATTTCAGTGGACAGACCTTAGTACATGAAAACAAAGTATTTACTCCAGGGCTTTAGGCAACTCTCATCAGCCAAAAACCATTTTCCCAGCCCCTACCAAAAACGGGCCAGACAGTCTGGAGACCCTTGTTTTTGTGTCTCTAATCACCAGCTCAGACAGTGCCCTCTGGGCTGTTTGGATGGCATATCCCTTTTCCCTCCCAGGATCACTCTCTCTTTTGTTGCATTGTGAGAAAATCACGGCTAGGAATTTGATCTGGAGCCAGAGTCAGCTTCCGGGTGTGATCTCAGTATCCAAGTGCGAGCTCAGGGTCCTATGACGTTAGGCACATCAAACTGAGGAACTTTTTGTCTAGCTGGCTGTGACCGCCTCCCTCCCTCCCCATCCCAGCTTCCCGGCCACAGAATAGGGAGCAGCACAAACAAGGCCCTGAGATTTGGGTTTATTCGGCTCCACCCAAAACTAAACCAAGGCTATGACACGTCCCATGGGACCAAACCATACATTGTAGACCATGCACCTTTCCTTTCCCCCAAGGACGCTGCTACCTCTGGAGTGGTGGGCAGCTGCCCATATCACCATGGGAGGTAGAGAGGGATTTGCTGGGTGCTGGGTCTGTGGCAATCAGGGCTCAACTATGGCTGCCTCCTCCTCTTCCTCTGGATCAGGAGGCGCAGGGAGCAGGGAGATGTAGACCTCATTGACCTCTGTGTCCAAATGTCGGCCACCCCGAGGCGCTTCCAGGTTTAAGATGCCATCGTGGGAGAGAGCAGCTCGGACCCGCCAGGGGTCGACATCAGCAGGCAGGACATAGGTGCGGCAGAACTCTCGGGACACGAAGCCGTGGCGGTCCAGGCGCTGGGGGTGCCGGGCAGACACCTCCAGCAGGTTATCCACAGTCCTCACAGTCACCTCGTCTGGGGTAAAGTGGCTCACATCCAGAAATGCCTGGAACTTGCCCTCACTGAGCCTAAGCTCGGAGGCCCCTGCCCTGCTGCCCTCCCCAGCTGGGGCGGCCCGAGGCCGGACATAGTAGCCATGGTAGAGTGTGGGGGTCAGGATCTCTTCTGGAAGGAGGCCTAAGGGGCAGAGAGAACGCAAGAGGCAGGATGAGGGAGGATGAGGCTGGCACAGGGGCGAAATGGGAAATCTGGAGAGGAGGGATTGGGAAGAGCAAGAGGGGAGTCAGGAGGAGTGGGGAACGGGAAGGAGGCCACACAGTAGCTAGGAGGAGAAGGCAGCTGGGAAGAGGGGAAAGAGAACGGAAAGGAAAGGGAGGAGGAGGAGGAGAAGCGGGGGGAGGAGGCACCAAATGGCCTGGGTTGATAGAAGGGGGACAAGGAGGCACACCCAGGCGGGCAAAGGGCAGGTATCAGCACTGCAAGCACCAAGTGTGTCTTGAGGTCAGCAGGAATGGGAAAGAGCTCTGCTTGGAGGGGATGAGAGGGAGTCTGGGGTGGGGGGTGGCTGGTCCCAGGAGATCAGTTAAGCCCAGAGTGGGGTGGAGGCCAGTAACGTTGGGAGGTCAGCCCAGAATTTCAGGGGGTGGGGGTGGGAGGCAAGGGGGTGGCGTCTGTGCCATACCTTCTCCGAAGCGCTGCTCACCCAGGCGGCTCGGGTTGGCAAATTCGTACTCAGCGGTGGCTGGGTGGGCATGTGGCACTGAGCGGCCCGACATGGCTGCAGATGCAGCGGGAGCCCTGGTCCGAGATGCAGCCCCAACAGGCGCAGCGCGACCCCTCCAGCTGCCCGGAGAGCCAGGGCTCGATAGGAGGTGGGGGCGGGGTCGACACCACCCAAAATAGTGCCGAGCCTCTGGGGGGGAGGGGCGGGGAGTGGGGGCCCTGAGTGAGAGCAACGAGGGTGTGACCAGCGCCGCCTGGACCCCTAGTCCCCTCCCCCGCACACTCTTCAGCTGTCGCAGGGGGCCTGAGAGGACAGCTGAGGGTCCTGGTTGGGAACGAGCTGAGAAGGGGGAGCTGGTGGTGCCTGGGGCATGAAGAGGCCTCGCTGAGACCCTCACAAACGGTTTGCACGTTTCCACACCTCATTTTCTCCTCCTTGGTGGCCGGCACTGTGCACCCAATTCCTAAAGCACTCCTGGATTTAATGTTCTGAGAGCCATATAGGATGAAAGATGCAAGAAATCTTTCTGCTCTTTTTTTCAGGGAGTGGGGTCTTTCTGCCCAGATGTCGGAGTCCTCTCCTAAACCCAGGTCAACCCAGGGCAGGAGGCAGATGGCTGGTACTGACATGTTGACCATCAGTGCTCTCTTCCAAGGACTCACAAAGAGTTAATGTCCCTGGGGCCCAGCCTAGGAAGATTCCAGTCCCTGCCCAGGCCCAAGATAGTTGCTGGCCTGATTCCCCTGGCATTCAGGACTGGAGAGGAGGAGGAGGAGGGGCACACTCCACCGCCTGCCCCCCCACCCGCCCGCGTGCCTGCTTGGGATTCCTGACTCTGTACCAGCTTCAGAGAACTGGGGTGGGGGTGGGTGCCACTGGGTGTGTACAGAAAGCTAGTGAAACAAGACCATGACAAGTCACTGGCCGGCTCAGACGTGTTTGTGTTTCTCTTTTCTTAGCTCAGTGAGTACTGGGTATGTGTCACACTGCCAAATCCCCGATCACAAGTCTCCATGAACCGGCGGTGAGCTAGGATAATAAAACCCCTGACATCACCATTCCAGAAGCTTCACAAGACTGCATATATAAGGGGCTGGCTGTAGCTGCAGCTGAAGGAGCTGACCAGCCAGCTGACCCCCCACACTCACCTAGCCACCATGGACATCGCCATCCACCACCCCTGGATCCGCCGCCCCTTCTTTCCTTTCCACTCCCCCAGCCGCCTCTTTGACCAGTTCTTCGGAGAGCACCTGTTGGAGTCTGATCTTTTCCCGACGTCTACTTCCCTGAGCCCCTTCTACCTTCGGCCACCCTCCTTCCTGCGGGCACCCAGCTGGTTTGACACTGGACTCTCAGAGGTGAGTCTCCCCACTGATAGAATGGGAGAGTCCTTACTGGAACCTCCTGTAAACTTCTCCATCCATTTTCCTCTCCTTTCCTGCCTAAACCATTTTAGGCACATGTGTATCCAAATGTGAAGAAAAATGAGGAGGTTGCTAGTGCCTCCCTCCCCCGTCACCTGTTTCTACTTGATGGTCCTCTGTATCCCATTTATTACATTTTTTCATGCACTGTCAAGTTCATCCTCCATCCCCTAACTTCTCTGCAGGGTACCCCTTTCTGGTTTGGTTCATAACAATCTGCAGGGAAAGAGCTGCCTTCAAACTCCTTTGCTCATCTCTTCTAACACCATGGACTCTTGACCAATTTTACCATCTCAGGTGTCAGAGCCAGGAGCGAGCCCTGCCTCATCCTGAGCTGTTCACCCTCATGGGCATTTTCTGCCTTTTTATTCCCTCTTCTGTGATTTTCTGGGTTTCTCAGGGCTGTGACAGGGCATTGGCCTGGGTCCAACCAAGCCTTATGAGGAAACAATATAGGGACCCCCACTCGTCCTAAGAGGGTGAGAGAACAGGGTGAACATATAAGGTTGACAGAAGCTGTCACAGATAACACTCTGGTTTAAAAATATTCGAGTGTGAGTAAACAGGAGATGAGTGGGCAAGGGCTTTGGAAGGACAAGCAGGACCAGCAGAACATTCCAGATTGGGTGGGTGGAAAACTGGCAAAGAGACCTGAGCCAGAAGAAGAGGCCTTTGTCTCACAGACAAACCACAAAGCCAGGCATTGGAGCCAGAGAGGCAGCAGATGCCAGGCCTGCACCCATCCTTGCGACTCGTCCCCTGGGTGATCTGTCTTCTTCTCTGTCCCTGTAAATAAAGTTTGGGTCTGATCACCATGAGCCTTAGGTATCACTGTGGTGGCTCCCTGAAGCAGAGAGCCACATTTATTTAAAAAGGGGATATTTTAAAGCAGAAAAGAGAAGGATGAATTACCTGGACAGAAAGCAACTCTGCAGAACAAGACAACACCAGTATAATGAGTACTTTCGCCATCTTTCTCCCGTCCCATTCCCTTACCTTGCTATTTCTAGATGCGCCTGGAGAAGGACAGGTTCTCTGTCAACCTGGATGTGAAGCACTTCTCCCCAGAGGAACTCAAAGTTAAGGTGTTGGGAGATGTGATTGAGGTGCATGGCAAACATGAAGAGCGCCAGGTATGTAGCTTGGTTTTTTGTTTTTGTTTTCTGCTCATTCATTCGGTGTATACTGTAATAGTCCAGGTAGTGCTATCAGCTTTGGAGGCTGGCTACATTCCAGTCCCAAGCTATAATAGTCTAGATCAGGGGTTACAAATCAATGTCTAGAAGACTAAGTTAGAGATAGACCTATTGCTGTTGTTACTGTTGTTATGGCCAGAGATGTGGTCTTTGTTTGATTTGATCGCCTTAGATGGGATGATGGGATGTTGATGCCCCATCTTAGCCAGAGGTTCTGAATCTTGGCCACATTAGAATCACCAGGGGAACTTTCAAAAAACCTAATGCTCAGGCATACTCCAGACCAATTAAATCAGAATTTTTAGGGGTGGGACCCAGGGCATCAACATTTTTTAAGGTAATTCTAATCTACAGTCAAGGTTGAGGACCACTGATTTAGGTATAGGGCTGTCAGACACCTAGTTGCTTTGCATAATTACATTAACTACAGGTACCCTAAAGGCACTTGAGTTGTGAATTCTCTGTTAGCTGTGCAAGAATCCATGTCTCTTCTTTAGCCCATCTTAATGCTGAACTACTTGGTTTGTCTAAATTTCAGAGCTGTGCTCAGTCTTTAATCCCCTGTAGCCCATGCGGAAATCAGTTAATGAGAGCCTGTTTGGCTACATGCTTGAGAGTCAGCAGGCATACGGGTTAAGGTCATCTACTCTTTGGGGGAATTCTGACGAATCGAACAGCTTCTCATGACTTTGTAAGAGAGCTTTAAAATTCCTTCTCACCAATTAACGATAGCTTAGCGATAGCTCAGAACCTGTGCGTCAACCAGTACAGTTTGTCCTTAGTAATGTCCTCAGGCTGTTTCAATTCTGCTCATATGATTTAGGTTTGGGTCATAGTCTCCTTGGATGGAGTCTTTTTTTTTTTTTTTTTTTTTTTTTTCCCCCAGCAGCAGTCCTATTGTTCTGGAACCTTCTGGGACATTCCTGAAGAGTCAGGACAATTTCAGGGCTTCCTCAGGAACTCAGATTCTAAATGAGATTCCAAATTCTGTAGGCCCAGTCAACATTATCTAAACCTTTGGGAAATACCCCTAAACATATCTATGCCTCAGGGTTTGAAAAGCAATGAAGTGTTGTACTGTTTCAGACTTCTCAGATTCTCACTGGTAGGAGTGACTACCTAGGTAACTTCATCTTAGCCGCAACCCTGAAACAAAGCACTGTTTATTTTTCCTATGTTGTCATGGCATTTGGTCTCACCTAAGGGGAAATCAGGATGCCTGAGTTCTGGGCAGGTGATAGTAGTTCATATTCTTATCTCTCTGCCTCTTTCCTCATTCTTTTGGGTTAGGATGAACATGGTTTCATCTCCAGGGAGTTCCACAGGAAATACCGGGTCCCAGCTGATGTGGACCCTCTCACCATTACTTCATCCCTGTCATCTGATGGGGTCCTCACTGTGAATGGACCAAGGAAACAGGTCTCTGGCCCTGAGCGCACCATTCCCATCACCCGTGAAGAGAAGCCTGCTGTCACCGCAGCCCCCAAGAAATAGATGCCCTTTCTTGAATTGCATTTTTTAAAACAAGAAAGTTTCCCCGCCAGTGAATGAAAGTCTTGTGACTAGTGCTGAAGCTTATTAATGCTAAGGGCAGGCCCAAATTATCAAGCTAATAAAATATCATTCAGCAACAGATAACTGTCTTGTGTTTGAATATTCCACACACTTTTAAATAAATGTACGGATACCACAGATCTATTTATGATTGCATTATGATTTAGAGGGCTCCAAGGATTTTAGAGTCAGAATGACTGGCTCCACCATTTACTAATGATATAAATTTAGGCAAGTTGCTTAACCTTTCTGGTCTTCAGGTTTTCCATTTATAACATGGGTTACTGAGTTGTACAGAGCTATTATAGGAAGTAAATTAAGGAGAAGAAGCAGGAAAAGCCCCTGGCAGAGTTCAAGGAATATTAGTTACTCTGTCTCTGCCCTCTTTGATTTTAGCCCTCAGTTTAAAGGACTGGAACACATCTGAATGAACTCTGGATAATGCTACATAAAAGGCCTTACTGCATCTCTAAAATTAATTACATCATCAGGGAAGACATGGTGACCCTAATATTGTTTGACGTTTTCCTATTGATAAGTATTGCCTTAAGCTGATTTACAAGGGCAATAAGCAGGACTTGGATGATTATCACCTAACAAGCTCTGAGGTATAGGCTAAATCAGTGGCCCCCAACCTTTTTGGCAGCAGGGACTGGTTTTGTGGAAGACAATTTTTTCCGTGGCCCCGGGGGAGCAGGGGATGGTTTCGGGATGATTCAAGCATTAGATTCTCATAAGGAGTACACAAGCTAGATCTCTCACATGTGCAGTTCACAATAGGATTCATGCTTATATGAGAATGTAATGCCACCACTGATCTGACAGGAGGAGGAGCTCAGCTTCACTCACCTCCTACTGAGCAGCCTATTTCCTAATAGGCCACAGGCCAGTACCAGTCCATGGCCTAGGGGTTGGGGACCCCTGGTCTAAATTATCGAGCAAACACCTACTAACCTAAGGCCAGGAAATATCCAATTCAATGACCTACCACATAATAGTTAAGTTTTAGAATTACAATTAATAACCAATCAATAAGTGGTTCTATTATTTAGCTTAAAGATATACCACTATGCAAAAAAATCCCCCCCAAAAGAAAAAACAACCCTCCATTTCATTTCTGTGGGTCTGGACAAAACTTCTGATTCACTTGATAAACAGGACTGCTGTAGGTGATCTGGTATAAATGTTTATTGACAACTTTTATTTTTTCTTCAGCAGCTTCCAGCTAATTTCTGATTTCTTGCAAAATCAGAAATCAGTCAGTTTGGGGACTGACCAGGGTTTTGAAATATTCTACATGAAACAATTGCCTACATTTTTTTTATGACATAGAGGGGAACAACACACACTGGGGCCTATCGGAGGATGGAAGGTGAGAGAAGGGTGAGAATCAGGAAAAATACCTAATGGATACTAGGCTTAATACCTGGGTTATGAAATAATCTTTATAACAAACCCCCATGACACACATTTACCTATGTAACAAAATAAAGGAAAAAAAAAGATCACAATGAGATACCATTGCGCCTCTATTAGAATGACTAAAATGAAAAATTGACTATACCAAGTAAAACAAAAAATATAAATAAATAAATTGGAAACTTAAAAATAAAAAAATTTAATGATGCAGGGGTATGGAGCTAGGACAACATAAATTGCAAATCTATACAGGTTCAAAAATGCTTTCTCTTAAAAAACAACTTCCTAATAGTCTGAAATACTGTGATCTAGCCAGAAGTTTACAGCTAATTTTTGTGGCTGTGTAGCAGACACTGTTGGCTGCCTAACCAACAGCTATTTACCATCTTCAGCCTTGCCAACATTACCCCAGATTGGTTTAGGTATACATCATATTCTTCCTAGCCATGTGCTTCAGAGAACTGCACTCAAGCTCCAGCCAAAGGAGGTCTATCTTGACTAGTCCAAATCAAGCAGGGAAATCCTCTTCTTGATTTTCAATATTATTTTTGAAAGGCCTGTGACTCAATTATGGCAAATGAGGCAGGAGGGAAGTCTGTTGGAGATGCTTCTAGAAAAAGTTTCTAAACTAAGAAAAGGTTTTTAAAAAGATTCAGAGAGAAAGAGAGAGAGATTTTTTTTTTCCTTGCTCTGGATGTCGGAGCATGAGAATGTGATGCCTGGATTACTGTAGCCGTTTTGAAAACGTGGAACGGGCATCCATGATATGCTGAGCACAAAGACAATAATCTCAGGTCCTTAATGGGTCAATGAACTGCTGAATTAGCCAACTCTAGAGTTTCCCTACTTCAGGCTGTTTGATTATGTCTTGTTTTTGTTAATAATCTGTTTTGACGTGGGTTTTCTGTTACTCCTAGGCAAAAACATCTGACATTATCAAGGCTGAATTAGATAGTGTAACATAACTGAATGCCTGGAAGCCATGTGTCAATTTTAATCATTTTAGTGAATTATCAGTATATTTCCCAAGCAAAGATGGACTTGGTTTTAAATAAATCACAACTTTGACTATTATATAATGATATTTGTTTCAAAAATGTGCAGGGTCACATTTTTTTGTTTGTTGTTACCATAAGTGCCTAAGTTAGACTGGTTCTTTATTGTTATTCTTTTCTAGATCATACCCTTTGCTGTGGCTATTCACAGCTACAATATTAGTATAGGACTATTCTAGTACAGTATGTTTGAGAGTTTTTTGTTTTTTGTTTTTTGCTTTATAGCTAACTCATCCATGATTCTACTTCATTCCCTATATCTGAATTTATAGAAGTTTACTGAGACAATTCTAATTAGCATTTGTTTTGTCTTTTAATATTAGCTAATATTTATTGAGCACTATATTAGTCCATTCTCACATTGCTATAAAGAACTAGCTGAGACTGGGTAATTTATAAAGAAAAGAGGTTTAATCATTTCACAGTTCCACAGAAAGCATGGCTGGGGGGCCTCAGGAAACTTACAATCATGGTAGGAAGGCAAAGGGGAAGCAGGCACATCTTACATGGCTAGAGCAGGAGGAAGAGAGAGCAAAGGGGGAAGTGCTACACACTTTTAAACAACCAGGTCTCATGATAACTCACTATCATGAGAACAGCTATGCAGTCCACTCCCATCATCCAGTCACC